CTCTCTCTCTCTCTCTCTCTCTCTCTCTCTCTCTCTCCCCCCCCCTCTCTCTCTCCCTGTGTGTGTGTGTCTTGCTTGATTGGCTTTTTGTCAACAGACCCAGCCGCAGAACAGATACACACACACACACACACACACACACACACACACACACACACACACATCTACAACACACACCCAAGCACAATACATACAAGCAAACATCACAATTGCTAAGCACATGAGCAACCAGGATCTTCAGAAGCAAAGGAAAAAGGAAAAAAGAGGAATACCGTTCTCAGAACTTTGTCAAAGATCAAGTGCGGAATCGGTATTGATCAATCTAACAATATCTGATCAACTGGACCACATGACGTTATTTTTTTTCGGGGGGGGGAACTAGGGCGCAGTCAGGATTGCAGTTTTAAATGCACTTCAGGCATTCCTCAAATACAACATATCCCCACTCAACCCTAAGCTAGGTTGTATACATTGATGATTTTCCTCGGTTTGGCACAACATTCACGAAATCGTGACTGAAGCGCATTTTAAAACTGAAACCGTGACAGCGCCCTAGTTTTCCTTTTTATTTACTATATCAATATTTTTGGTGGTACAGTCGCTCACCTAATCCCTCCAGGAGAGAAAGAAGAAAACCATTTGTTGAAAAATGGAAGACATTTTCAAAGGGGAAGTTTCTCTACTCCCTCCTCCAAGCTACAGCATAGTATAGCTTATGCAGACCACCAGAGATCTCACGTCCTATGCACTAACTTGATCAAACTCTTATTATTAGAGTCATACATTATAATCGCATTATCGCACCCATTTTGCTTGTCCGATTCCCATTATCTCCTACTGTATATATATATACTGTGACATATCTATGAACTAACGGAGTGCACTTTATGAAACAAACGACAAACATACACAAGGCAAACATGAAGAGCTCACTGAAACCATTCATTTTTCATTTATGATTTTATAATTCTTCTTTCTAATTCCCCTTTCACTGTGCCTCTCACGTACATACACATATATATAAACATATAATATGGATTATCTTAAATAAGGTTTAATAAATCAAACAAAAGCTCAGAGAGTTCAAGGCTGACTAATTATAGATAGATAGATGCCAATTTTGAGCATGTTTTATTGAAATTTATTATTGTATTTACATTCATAGCATACATAATGCATATAGTACCAGATGTCACATGTGACAATATAAATAGTACTCGTTTGCGGCTTGGTTGAATTGCATGGACAGATGGTAGATGGATGGATGGATGGATGGATGGGTGAGTGGGTGGGTGGAGGGATGGATGGGTGGATGGATGGATGGATGGATGGATGGATGGATGGATGGATGGATGTGAACAATTTCAACAAGGATGGGTGGGTGGGTGGGTGGGTGGGTGGGTGGGTCGGTTATCGAAACGGAAATCAAGGTCAGGTAGACAACAAGAGTAGAAGCAGGTAAGAAAACTACAGGAGATAATGAGATCATGAGATACTGGGACAATGAGGTGGGCTACCAGCCGAGCTGCCAAGGTTGCCTCTCACTGGCCCAGGTGGCCCGGCTGGGCCAGGTCTGGGCAAAGTCCCGGTCAAAGTCCCAAAAAAAAAAAAAAAAGAGAAAAATTCTGAAAACAAACTACGTTATGAAAACAACTTTTTGCTGAAGGTCACCCCGAAATTTGTTATGAAATTTACAATTTAAACCTGGGCTCTTTTTTTTCCGGGCCTCCAGGCACCCAACTTGTGCCGGGAGGGATCCGGACAGGCCCAGCAAAAAAAAAAAAAAAAAAAAAAAAAAAACTTCCGGAAAAAAAAATGTCGTGTAAAATTGCAATGCAAACGACTTTTGGATGAGGGTCACATCAAAATTCCTCACTCATTTGAAGATAAAGAAAGAAAAATGACAGAATCAGACTAAGGCACCCCCCTTTAAAGTTTAAACCCTTGTAGCCCCTTTAAAACTATTGTATAACCCCCCTCCCCCCTCTTGACAGCCAACACTCGGAAAAAGAAAAGAGCCTGGATCTGGGCTCCTCCAGGCATCGCCGGAAAAAAAAAAAAAACACTTATTCCCACGCATGGGTACCCCGGGTGTCAGACCCCCAGCCCAGCCAGGCAAGACAATCTTCCCACTTCTAGGCCCCCCCCCAAAAAAAAAAAACACATTAAATTATATCACACCCCTTGAAGCCCCTCCAGACCCCGTTTACACCCCATAGACACCCTTTGGTGCGACATCGCCAAGTTCGAAGATACCGTTGGATTTTGGCACCTCTCAGCGGTCCAAAAAAAAAAAGGAAAAAAGAAATTGGCGCCCCTTTTGCTGTCTCCCAGGTACCCCGGGCAGGTCCCCCCCTGGGTGTGATGGCTCTAGTCGCCTAGATAATCAGATAATTACCATTGCACTTGTAATAGAGCCTGGTTTTGTCGGCAAGAACCACGCCTGGGACAACCTTCCCTGGGAAAATCTGGCCAATGATCGCCATGAATACCACGTACCCCAGCACAATGCATGCCTGCACACAGAACAGATGTGACTTTATTATATCAATGTTGTATTTATATCATACAAGGGTTCACCCTCCTGATGAAACTCCAATGAAACCGTCTGTCACAGCCCCCCGCTTTTTGTCCTTTTCTCCCTTTCTGCCTTCGGTTCACCAGCCCGTTCTCAATGACTACCTACATACTTAGTAGAGTGCTGTGCTGCACTTCACCTGTGCGAAGAACCACCGACAAACAGAAAATGACTGCGTGTGTTCTGTGTGAAACCACCATTCAAAAAAAGAGAGGTACCTCCAAGTGAAACGGTATTCACCAGTTCGAAGTAGCTGATGTAGGACCCAGGGTTCGATCCCTAGTCCCCCAACTTACCTGTGTACAATATCTGTGACAACTTGAAGAATTGAACCTGCGACCTGTAGAACTGCCAGTGGTAAGTAGGTCTGTCGTAGGTCTTTAGGTAGCCAGGATT